GAACCTAAAGAACCCACAATTGTTCCTCTATCAGAACCTGAAGAACCCAGACCCATTCTGATTTAAACTCTGACCCGTTTGAACCATGACGAGCTTCAAGCTGACATGTTTCGAACAAGTCAGTGAGCTGTAGGTGGAGACACATGACTGATGAGCACCAACCTGGACCACGGTGGAAACAGGTGATTCAGGCTCCGCCCACATTTATCAGCCTGACAGCTGACATCTGATTGGACGGGACGGTTCACCTTCATGGTGATTGGCTGCAGACGTCCGCCTGCTCAGCATCAGTAACGACTGTCTCACTTGGACTCCAGCTGAGTCTGGTCAAGACCAGTTCTGTCCAAGTCGAGTCCAATCAAATCGAGTCTACTGGCGTCGGGTCGAGTTGACTTGTTTCTGGGGGTTGCTATGGCGACCCGCTAATGGTGGAATTAAACGACAATCTTTTATTGACATAAACATGATAAATGTGAAGTTTCTGGACCTGAGGACTAGAACTTTGGACCCGACCAGGTGTTGCCTCCAGGACCATTGACAGGTCTGTGACTCGTCATTATCAGAGGACTCGTGGTTCTCCGAGTGTTTGACCGTCAGACGGAAGAACCTGAACCGAGTCCAACCTGTTGGCTGGATGTTACATATTACCTTCGAGTGTCTTCCAGTTGGTCGACTCGGTTTAATCGACTCACTGACTTCAAGACCTTTGGTTCTGAACATCCTTCGTCTCACACGGCTTCCAAACATGAAACACGCTCTCACACTTTGGGTTTTCTTTACAAATGAACATGTGGTTTATTCTGAAATGGAAGTTCAGTATAAAAACTTTGAGCTCAGATTAAAACTCGTGATCAGATCTCAGATACAGAAAGTGTTAAAATACAAACCAGCTCTACAGAGTTCCACCCGCTGGGATCTAAAGACATCAGAGAAGTTCTGTTTGGTTCTTTCGTGTCAAAACTGAATGAACTGAGTCTGACATGAAAACAAGCGTCGGATGTTTTCATGATGACCGAGTTGGAATCTGCACGAGTGAAGTGAAACTGTCGAGTCTGTTCAGAGTTTGATCATAAAAAGGCAGATGTTTAGATAAAATCTGAGTCTGGTCCAGATCCCTCAGTACGGAACCTCTGAGAACCCATAAAATACACTGGAGCCACTTAACAACCCACTGCAGGTGGAGATACCAAAGTGTTTCTGAGGGTTCTGCTGTGTGACGGAACCACAGTAATCTGGACAAAACATGAAGATGTTCTCATATTCCTTTGAAAGCTCGGGTAGTGTTCTCCAAGGTTTCCTCTGAAGATCCCCCAGAACATTCCTCACAGATTATAAAGACAGAATAGAGAGCTGCAGGAGAACTTACAGAACCTCCAGAGGAACCCAGATATCCCCAAATGGTGTATGATGTAAATGATGTAACAGAGCCCAGAACGTCCGTCTGTTTTAAGGCTTCTTGCTATCAACCAATCCCTGCTGAGCTTCCTGCAGTGGGCGGGGCTTCGTTAAACAGGCAGGAAATAAAATCCAAACGACAAAAATGTCCTCGAACATCCTTCAACGTTCTCGTCATGCTGGATGCTGATTGGCTGATGGTTTGTATGAAAGGGAGGGAGGCGGGGCTTATGGTTTCCTGAGCAGTGGATTGGCTGGTGTCGTTTGGTGGCTCTCCAGCTAATTGGTCAGATAAGTAGGTAGGCGAGTCTTGTTGCACCTGAGTCAAACAGGACGAAGCGTAAAGACCAGTTATTGTGCTTCTTTAACTCTGGACTCTGACTGGACCATGAGGAGGCGGAGTCTCTTAGGTGTCCTCCCATTGGTCGGATCAGAGTGAAGTGGTCTTGGAGCGGCCTGCTGTAGCTTTGGACATGACGGCAGTGCAGGGCTGTGATTGGTCAGTAGAGCAGGGTGGGCGGAGCTTTGTGTATCCTGAGCGTCTGGATGGATGAGAGCATCTTCTTCTGGTGTCCTGCCAGGGTCACGCCCACTCTGAGCAGGTCTCTATGGAAACAGGAAGTACAGGAAGTGAGAAGATCCACAAAAACACAAAATGGCCATTTCATTAAAAACATATAAAACTTCAGAAATCTGCCAGATCGTCTCACTGACTGTTCACAGACGGGTTCAGTGTTAGAACCTTATTCATCCTCAGAGTGGATCCTGTCTACAGATAGTTCTGGTAGGTTCTGGAGTTAAAACGGTCCTTCCATTGTCTAGAACTGGTTCTGACCAACCACCATCACACATGCTGACATGAGCCTGGAAAGTTTACCCAGAATGCACTTTGTAAAGTTTCCTCTGGTGACTGATCAGAACCAGAACCACATCCAGGGTACCGATGATTGTTTCTATGACTCTGTGTCATAGACATTAAACTGGTACCACTATGATCCATCCCATAATACTGATGCTAGCAGCTGCTGACAGATGACATGAACAGAACCAGGTCCAGTGTTCAGACTGAGACACCTGGATGGATGTAGAACTGATCTGGTGTCAGGTTCTAGCAGAACCCAGATGTGTTCTTCCTCCTAAATGTCATGTGTCTATCTGCTGTACTGATGAAGTTCTGAGGCTCAGAAATGATGGAAAAAGTCCATTAAAGTGATCAATCTGGACCCTCCTCTGTGGACTTCAAGGACCTGGACCTCTGAAGGTAGAACTCTGGTGGCTTCATGGATCTACTTGATTGTACATGAATGTAGATATGAATGTAGATGTGAGAGAGTTTCCCTGAGCGCTGACTGGCAGGTTCATGGACACACGTGAAGGACGGATGTGATTCGTACTCGGTGTTGAGCTGTGAGACGATGTCCATGCTGGTGAATCCGGCCTGCAGGAAGCTCTGCTCGTATCGCTCCATCTTTATGGCTCGAAGCCACTCGGAGACCGAAGCACAAGCCGACAGAGGAGGAGGGCAGCGCTGGTCCAACAGGGGCTGGGACGGACTGACGGACACAAGACACACTCTGTTAGTCACAGTGAGCTGCAGCCAGAGTTTCCTCAGAGAGACTGAGAGGAACATCCAACCTACTGGACCAATGAATAGATGCAGCACGGATCAGAACCAGAGACCAGAGGAGCCAGTTGGTGGAGATACATTCATCTGATGGTGGAACATCTTTCTACTGCTGATGGTGGAACATCTTTCTACAGCTGATGGTGGAACATCTTTCTACTGATGGTGGAACATCTTTCTACTGCTGATGGTGGAACATCTTTCTACTGAAGGTGGAACATCTTTCTACTGATGGTGGAACATCTTTCTACTGATGATGGAACATCTTTCTACATCTGATGAGCAGAGAGGAAATGTCTGGAGACATGGAGATAGTTCAACATCTACAGGATGAGGAGCTCCAGGGTTTAACATCTAGAAACATGCTGGTTCCAGGATTTCTAACCTTTGTTTCCTTCATGACTCCTTCATGTTGTCTAACTTGCAACAATTCATTTATTTGCGACAAAATGTTTTTCAAGTTAGACAGACGGAGTCAGAACTGATTTTCTGAGTCCTGCTGACAGAAGACGTCTCTGAGTTCTGTCTCCTCCTTCATGTTCTGGTTCCACACAGCTGCAGGACTTTATGTAGCAGACAAACATGAACCAGGAGCAGAGAACAGCCAGCTGTCAATCAAACTCACCTGGGCCCCTCAGGGTGCGTCACCTTCAGGGAGGCAGGGTTTCGAATCAGCCTATCGAGCGCTGCCACCACGTCGCAGAACCTCGGCCGATTGGCTCGTTCCTTCTGCCAGCAGTCCAGCATGAGGACGTGTAAGGAGGCGGGGCAGTCGGGCGGCGGCGGCAGCCGGTAGTCCTGCTCGATGGCGTTGATCACCTGACCGACAGGTGAGAGTCACGTCAAGACAACGTACAACCTGAAGCAGTCTTCAGCTGAGAGAACACATTTATAGACCTCATGGTATCCGACTGTTTTCACTTTAACATTTTAAGCTGACACATAAAACCTTTACATCCGGCTGGTTTGTTTCTGTTTCTAAAGCTTCAGATTTGTTCATCGCTGCTGCTCAGGTTTGCTTTGGTTTGATGCTGAAGCTGCTTCACATTTGTTTCTGTGTGCTGGACGGTCTTTAGCTGAATTCATCAGTTTTATTGAAGCTCTGATGGTGTAAAATCTGCAGAGTTCTTCATGTGTTGCTTCTGAAAACATTGCTTCAGGACAGTTTGTTTTGTTCTTACGTCCTGGTTGCTCATGTCCCAGTACGGCCGCTCTCCGTATGACATCACTTCCCACATGACGATGCCGTAGCTCCACGCGTCGCTGGCCGATGTGAACTTCCTGCAATCAGCAGATCAATAATCAGCCGTCTGATCGGTAATCAATATATTCTCTGTCTGCAGCAACACTCACCTGTAGGCGATGGCTTCAGGAGCCGTCCACCGGATCGGAATCTTCCCGCCCTGAACAAGAACATAAACACAAATGCCTTAAATAGAACTCAACGGAACATCACAGGACCCAGAACAGAACCCTGAGGAGCTCCAACAGAACATCAGAGTACCCAGAACAGAACCCTGCGGCGCTCCAACAGAACCACACCAAGAGGCTCTGATTGCCTGAGTGGGTTAATGAAGGTAAACCTGGACAGGTGTGATGCACCTTAAAGACTCGGTATAAATTTAGGATTTCAGACTTTTTTAAGTTTCAAGTCATTTAAGTTTTGAGACATTTTGGTTTGTCAGTTTTGAGTCGTGTTAGAAACGTTTTTATCGTGTTGGATCGGTCTGTTTTTGTCATTTGTCAATTTTGGTCATTTTGACTCATTTTCTGCAACTTTAAAGTCATTTCAGAAAAGTTTCAAGACATTTTGGACAAGTTCTGAGTACCTTTGGTAAAGTTTTAGTTGTTTTTTTGACAGGTTAGGGTCATATTAAACAAGCCTCGTGTAATTTAGGACAAGTTTCAAGAGATTCTGGAACATTTCTGAGGTACTTTGAACAAGTTTTAAGTAACTGTGGACACATTTTGAGCTGTTTTGGGACGAGTTTCAAGACACTTTAGAAAATGTTTGGACAAGTCTTATTGTACATTCCATTCTGGAGTCAGAGTCAGAAACAAGACCACCAACACACCGTGACAGCCATCTTCGGCGCCATCTGGAGAGGAAGTCAAAGTCAACTTTATTGTCAATTCTGCCATAAGTACAGGACATAGACGGGACTAAAGCGCTTATCACACACCTGTACACCAACCGGTGTGGTCATCTAACTAGCTGCTAGCTCATTAGCATGCTAGTTAGCTCGTTTAGCAGGTGACTCACCAGAGAGCTGGTGTACGTCGGGTCCGACGAGTTTTCAGTCAGAAACCTGCTGAGACCGAAATCTGACACCTGAAACACACAAGTACACAGGTAGGTCCGTTAAACTGTCAGGCAGACAGGTGAGCAGGCGGGGGGGGGGAGGGACAGACAGGTGTTGCTCACCTTGCACACCAGGTTGGAGTTGACCAGGATGTTGCGAGCAGCCAGGTCTCTGTGGACGAAGCTCATGTCGGACAGGTACTTCATACCTGCAGCGATGCCGCGCAGCATCCCAACCAGCTGGATGGTGGTGAACTGTCCATCGTTTACCTGCACAGACAGGTAAGACAGTCAGACAGGTAGACAGACAGTAGACAGAGGTGCAGGTGTGGTGAGGCTCACCCTCAGGAAGCTGTCGAGGGCGCCGTTCTCCATGAACTCGGTGAGGATCATGACGGGACATGACGTGGTGATGACGCCCTCCAGGTGGATGATGTTCGGGTGCTGGAACTGACCCATGATGGACGCCTCCGACAGGAAGTCCCGCCGCTGCTTCTCTGTGTAGCCGCCCTTCAGCGTCTTGATGGCCACGTAGTTCTCTTTCCTGCCCGGGATCCTCAGACGACCGCGGCACACCTCACCAAACTCACCTGGACAGGTACACCACAGGTATGATCACATGACAGAAGCTGACATCATGCAGTGATGCAACTGATTAATCAAGTGTTTGCACATCTGGATCAGCAGCTCAGCGTTCTGACAGCTGGTGGCATGAAGCTGTTGGTCAGTCTGGAGGTTCTTCCTTTAACGCTCCAGAAACGTTTTCCTG